TGTTTTCAAACTACAAGAAAATAGAGAATGGCTTTGTGTCAATGGAAAATGAAAAGAAAGGTAATATTTTAGGAACTGATGATGTATGCCTTAGGTTTTCTTCTGGTTCTCTGTTTACTTTGAAGGATGTTAGGCATGTTCCTGATTTACGTTATAACTTGCTTTCTTGTGCATCTCTAGAAAATGATGGTTTGGAGGGAAAATGGGGTAAAGGGGTTATGAAAATTTTGTATGTTTGTCATGCTACACCTATGATTGATTCTGTTAACTCTGTGATAGGTGATAAATCTATTTTATGACATAATAGATTAGGTCACATAAGTAATAAAGGATTAGAAATTTTGAATAAAGGTGGTCACTTTGGTAGTGATAAAATATCCCTTATCCTTTTCCGTGAATCTTGTGTGCTAGGAAAACAACATAGGGTTAGTTTTCCTATTTCTTATTTTTCTAATCAGTCAAGGGCACTAATGTATTTGAATATTTGCATGCTGATGTGTAGGGTCCCTCTAGTGTTCCTACGCATGGAAGGACCAATATTTTCTTTTCATAATTGATGATTATTCTAGGAAAGTTTGGGTTTTACTCATGAAACAAAAATCTGAAGTTTTTGATAAATTTAAAAGCTGGAAAATTATGATTGAAAACCAAACGGAAAAAAAAATTAAAACTCTTAGGACAGACAATGGTTTTGAGTTTTGTAACAAACAATTGAATGATTTGTGTGCTACTCACACCCCAACAAAATGGTGTTGTTGAAAGGATGAATAGAACTCTCTTAGAGAGGGTGAGGGCTATGTTAGCCACATTTGGGCTCTCTAAGAAGCTCTGGGGAGAAACTGTTTGTACCGCGACCTATTTAATTAACAGATCTCCTTATGTTCCCTTAGGAGGGAAATACCTTGAATTTATATTCATAGGGAAACATCTTGATTTAAATAATTTGAGAATTTTCGGGTGTACTGGCTATGTGCATCAAAGGATTAATAAATTAGAACCTAGATCTAAGAAATGTGTTTTCTTAGGATACCCTGAAGGGGTAAAAGGTTATAAGCTTTGGAATAAGAGTGAACCGGAGTTTAAGATAGTGATAAGTAGAGATGTTATTTTTAATAAAAATGAATTTCCTTGTTTACCTTTACATGTCCCTATTCCTGAAAATGATGCTCCAAATGATGTGGAGCAAATGCCTATTATTGATCAACTTGAATCACCTCCTGAAGAGAAATTGAATGATATAATTATTAAAAATCAAGATGAGATTATTCTTAATGAGCTGGAGCATGATATGCAGGAAATAGATAACATGCATGATTTAAATGATTATCAACCCACTAGGGATAGAAATAAAAGAATCATTAGGAAACCTGAAAGGTATAAAGGTTACAATTTGACTGATTGTAATATGTCTGATTTGCCTTTAATGTGTTTGAATCCCTTGAGTGCAATGAACCTAAGACTTATAGGGAAGCATTAAGGTCAAAATATTTTGAAGAATGGATTAGTGCTATGAAGAGTGAGATGAAATCTCTAAGAATTAATCAAACATGGAAACTTGTTCCTAAACCTGCTAGTTGTTCTGTAGTGGACTATAAGTGGCTGTTTAAGGTGAAGCAAGAATCTGAAAGTGTTAGGTTTAAGGCTAGGTTAGTAGATAAGGGATTTACTCAAAAGGAGGAAATTGATTATGCTGAAATTTTTGTTCCTATTGTCAAATTCACTACTGTTAGAATTATGCTTACTTTAGTTGCTCATTTTAATTGGGAATTAAAACAAATGAATGTAACTACTGCTTTCTTGCATGGTGATCTTGATAAAAACATTTATATGCACCAACCTGAGGGCTTTGTGGACCCTAAATTGTCTGACCATGTGTGTTTGTTAAAAAAGGCTTTGTATGGTTTAAAACAATCACCTAGGCAATGAAATATTAGATTTGATAAATGTATGCAATCTTTAAAGTTTAAAAGGAGTTCTGCTGATCATTGCCTGTATTATAAGAATATAGACTATGTGCCTGTATTTCTTTTAATTTATGTGGATGGCATGTTGATTGTTAGTCCTTGTTTGAAGTCTATTGAGCATGTTCAAAAATGTCTTTGTGAAAATTTTAACATGAAAGACTTAGGCAATGCTAAAAGAATCCTAGGCATGAATATTATTAGGGACAAAAACAAATCTACTCTAGTTTTAAACCAAAAAGAATCCTAGGCATGAATATTATTAGGGACAAAAACAAATCTACTCTAGTTTTAAACCAAAGTTCATATATCGAAAAACTTTTGAGTAAATTCGCTATGTCTGATGCCAAATCTGTGAATGTGCCTCTTGCTTCTCATTTTGTGTTAAGTAAGGGTCAGTCCTTCAAGACTGAAACTGAAATAAATGATATAAAGAAGGTGCCTTATTCGAATGCTATAGGATCGATCATATATCTCATGGTTAGTACTAGGCATGACATTGCGTATGCGGTTAGTTGCTTGAGTAGATATATGTCAAATACTGGCATGCCTCATTGGAATGCCTTGAAATGGCTTTTAAGATATTTAAAATCCTCTGTGGATGTAGGATTAACCTTCTCTAAGTGTTTTGAAGGTGTTAAACTAGTTGGCTATGTAGATTCTAATTATGCAAATAATAGGGATAATAGAAAATCTACTACTTCCTATGTGTTTACTTTATGTGGCTCTTGCATAAGTTGGAAATCCTAACTACAACCCATTGTTACTTTATCTACTACTGAATCTGAGTATATTGCTACCACTGAAGCTTTTAAAGAAGCTATTTGGCTTAAGGGTCTTATATCTGAAATTGGTTTTCTTGATAAAAATATGGTTGTATTTTCTGATAGTCAATCTGCTATTCAACTTTGCAAAAATCCTGTTTTTCATGATAGAACTAAACATATTGATGTTAGATTTCATTACATTCGAGATATAGTTAAAAAGGGTATTGTCAAGTTGGAGAAAACTCCCTCGAAATTTAATCCGGCTGACGTGGGTACTAAGTGTTTGCCTGCTGAAAAATTTATCTCATGTCAAAGAATCTTGAACTTTGACATTGGGTAATTTTTCCTTTACTTTGTGTATTACCTTTGTGGCCTATTAACTTGCTTTGTGCTTGTTAGTAGCTTTGTGATTTTTTTTCCTTTGAACTCGATGACCGTTTGGTAAAGTTTGGTCCTTTGTGGACTTGGCATGCTTGGTGATCTTTCCCCGATCTTTGTGATCTGAGTTTACTTTGTGTATTCTCTTCCATTGCTTGTATCTTCTTTGTGATCATACATGTAATGGTTTGGCGATGATGAGTCTTGCAGTTCCGTGGTTTTTTCCTCTGTGCACTACCTTGGGCCAACGGTGGAGATTGTTGCTATTTTTGTTGGCCCAAAATCTGGCCCGTTACCAAAAGGCCCAGTTCCCCACAATTTTTGTTTCAGCCTATCTCTAAACCTCTCCTCCTACCCGATAGTACTGAACCCTAAGTCGGCAGCCTCCTTTCCATCCCTTTGTCCTGCTCTGCAGCCGCTGTGAGTCTCATCTCTCATCCCTGTAAGTCGGCTCCTACCATTCGATACCCTAGGCTTCTCTCCCGTGTCGGCTACCCCCCTTCTCTATTTAGGTCGAAGGGTTGGTAGTAGCTTGGGAGTGATTGAGAGCTACGGCGAAGAACCTTTGTGGCCTATTAACTTGCTTTGTGCTTGTTAGTAGCTTTGTGATTTTTTTTCCTTTGAACTCGATGACCGTTTGGTAAAGTTTGGTCCTTTGTGGACTTGGCATGCTTGGTGATCTTTCCCCGATCTTTGTGATCTGAGTTTACTTTGTGTATTCTCTTCCATTGCTTGTATCTTCTTTGTGATCATACATGTAATGGTTTGGCGGTGATGAGTCCTGCAGTTCCGTGTTTTTCTCAGTGCACTACCTTGGGGTAAAGGTGGAGATTGTTGATATTTGTTGGCCCAAATCTGTTGATGGCTCGTTACTAAAAGGCCCAGTGCCCCACCTTTATTCCCCTAGCACATCTCTGATATTTTCACCCCTATGGGCTAAAGGTGGAGATTGTTGATATTTGTTGGCCCAAATCTGTTGATGGTCCGGTACTAAAAGGCCCAGTGCCCCACCTTTATTACCCTAGCACATCTCTGATCTTTTCACCCCTATGTTGCTTAACCCTATGTGTTGGTTGCCCCCTTTATAAATACCTAAGTGGTTCTCAAGAGATAGAAGAGAAAACATGAGCTTTGTGCTCTACTGCTTTGTGCGATCCTCTCCCTCTTCTTCGTGTCTATTCCTTTCATCACTTTGTGCAATACCTTCACCCTTTGTGAGTGAAATAAAGAGTAGAACAGTGGTTGGCTCCCCTTTTGTCCTGGTGGTGCACAACTGAGAAACTGAGACTGAATATTTAGGTGACCTGAGTCAAACAAAGACGACGGCAAATTACAACAAGACTTCCCCATCAAACCTAGATTTCTCCTTTCAACTTGATATATAGGTTGTTGAAATACTTTGTAACAAGTTTCTCGGTTAAATTGATTTTGAGGTTTGGTTTTCTCCAATGATTGTATCACAAACTACTCTAATTGACGGAGGTAAAGTCCAATGTGAAGTTCGACGAATTAGCCAAATATAGTATCTTGTAGATGTTATTATGTCACATAATGCATCTATGGGTGCTAGACTAGACTAAGGGTAATTTTTCCTTCCATACGCACTAATCCTTTGTTACTATTTGTGTATGAAATTTGTATGTGAATACGAGTTGTGTATTCTACATGTTTTGGTGTTGGAGGTGAAATACTTGTGAGAAAATTTCTCGATTGCTTCTTGCTATATGCCAATTTAATCCTCTTCGTTTTTGTCAATGAATTCATATATCATTTTAAAAAACTTATATGAAATACTTTGCTCTCTCCCAACGTTAACACTGCCTTATGAGTAGTTCTAAATAATGACTTAGGTCATTTGCTAATTAATATAATATCGACAAAACAAACTCTTGGGCAACTAATTCTTCAAGCTATATATAAAGAATACATATGTACTAGTTCTCCATAAGCCAATAAAACAGGCTCACAAATACAAATGGGAAAATAGACTTTGTCTCTCTGGACTGCCCTCAACAAGTCAATAAAAGAAACCAGCCGGAGACGGCCCTCTCCTATAATAATGCAACATTACAACATCTCTAAGCAACTATTGCTTCTTCAAGTCTCATAAACAACTTGGAGGAATAACAAAGCCTGAAGTTTTGCCGTGCACATGACTGCAATAAGATTGCGCCGGTTTCTTACCGTATGTGAGCTTTATGTTCTGCAATCCTATTTTCCGGCAAGGGTTTGTCGGACTACAGTCAAATTTGACGGCGATTGGTGTTGCCGACGATCCTTGTATGTCGTTGTAGGAGACCTTGCTGATCTTAATGCCTGAACTCTGCATCCATAATCGTGATGTAGATGTTGTTAGAATGTAAAATCATAACCCTCAATTTTCAGACCAGCTTTAAAGTTTTGATGCAGTAGAAGAGATTTTAAGATGACCATAGCATGAGAAATCAAGTTCGATCTCGTCAGACATGTAATTTAGGTTCTCTCTATTATCACTTTAACTCTTTGATGCCAACCCAAAGTTCTCTCTATTATATGTACATGTAATATAGGGAATGCATGTTCGAGAGCTATGAAAGAACAGAGGGTCTCTCTGTACCATAGTATAGAGGATGATCTCTGCAACATTGTGAAATATCATAGGGTCTCTCCGCAACACAAAAATATGCTACAAGGTATCTATGCAAGTACAAATAACAAAGAAATAACTCTGATTTTGGCTCTGTGTGCTCAAAGGTGCTAACAGAGGATTTTAAGATTAATAACTAGCCAACCTTCCATATTGTATGGAGTCTATGCACACTCAATCCTAAAAAAAATGTATTGTAAATAAAAGATAGTCAACAAGGTCTTACTCCATAAAAAAATGTCCAACCTGCTAGAGTACGTTATAGAACATAAAATTGTGACCTCAACTCTCACTGCAACTTCAGATTTTGATCCAATAGACAGAAAATTTAAGAAACGTAAACTTCGATCGATGAATACCTGATTCGGGCAATTTACATTCCCAGGGCAGTAGTTTTGGTCAACTACAATGGGATTCTGGACATAATTCATGACTGCGTGTCGAAATGTAACTCCACGTACAAACCCACTGCTGGGTTTTCCCCACGTCTTAATCCTGAGTCCGTTCTGTGTCCCGGTGAACACCACGGACTTCACCGTAATGTTCTGCACTCCTTCTTGTTGTGGTTGGTCGCCCAAGCTTCCGATGCTGCAAAAAAAAAATTATATCATAAATGACATGTTATAATGACATAATAACAATTTAATCGTGAGACGTTAGGAACGGAAAGGCCCATTGATGAGATGGACTAGGCTAATCTGCATGGAACGGATTGACTAACCTAATGCCATGTCCAGGACCACAGTTAACCTTCTCGATCCAGACGTTGGACGTACCCTCGCCCATCGATATGCAGTCATCGCCGGTCTCTATCGTGGATCCTGTGACGTTTACATAAGTTGATTTCTGGATGTGGATTCCGTCGGTGTTGGGGCTGTCGCCGGGCGCCGTGATTTTGGCTCCCCGAATAGTTACATAGCTGCTAGCAAATACTGAAATGTGGAACATTTCGCTGTTTAGCGACGAGAGACTGTCGATGACGATATTGTTTGATTCTCCAATTGTCAGAGACTGCAATGCGAAGATTAAGAGTATTAGATCGCATCTGAAGGATAAATAAGTAACAAATTCATTACAAGTTTTTTTTTTTTTTTGTGATAGTACATCAAGGTACCTTTTGTGTCTGCAAATCATTTGGAAAAGAATATAATCATGCACGTTACCGAAGAGACTTCCTATTGGATTATCATTAGTGTTGTATGTTAGATGAGGAATCTTTTTTTCCTTCTATTCTTGGAATATTATCAGATGTGCTAAATTATTAACTATTGACAAAATTGTAGTTTTTGAGCACAGGTTGTCCGGAATCAACTATATAATTTCTATTGAAATACATATCTTATCAGAGCACTTCACATGTGAGCAGTTGTTCTGATCCACAAAATAAGACAATGGAATTCCCAAATTGCACATTAATCTTCTCTCTATGAATTAAAACATAATGTTCGCATGCGGACTGTTCTAATAGAATCTGCAACCATTAGATTCTTACTTACTTAAAAAAGTATTTGGTGACGTATGAAAACTCATTAATATCTATGTGAACAACATAAGCATCAAGTTAAAGATTAACCTACCGTTGCACCACCTGGACAATCGCCTCCTCTCATCTTGCACTTCCACAGAGGCTGTCCTTGACCATCAAGAGTGCCTCCATGAATAGAAACACCCTCAACATACTTGAATGTGATCCAAGTACTTGAATGGCTATAACCAGAGGGAGCAACCAAAGTCCCTTGGATAAAAATCCTAAGTGCACCATTGTTACATGGGCCTTGAAATAAGGCCTGGCTAATGTAAAACCGGCCTGCCGGCACGACGATTGATGCGGGCTTATGGGCCCGGCAGGCCTTGTCCCATGCAGCAAGAAAGGCCCGTGCCGAGTCGCTCCGACCATCGGGCCGGGCCCCAAAGTCCATGACATTGTAGGATGCCATTGATAATGAGAGGGAAGAGATTAGGAGGAGAATGCGAAGGGAGCTCATGTTTTCCTGTTTATTGAAAATGAGGAGGACTCAATGAAGTTGTAGAGCTAATTTGGGGGTGTATTTATAGGATTTGTTTGATGGTGGTTTTCATTAATGACATTGTTACTGGGGTTACCATAATTAGTAGTGAATAGCAAAGTTGGATGAAGGTCAAAGGTTTTGTGAAGAAGTGTGGCCGTTATTGTGGCAAAAGAGTGTGAATCTTTTGGAGTATTTTGTTATCATAAAGATAACCTTTTTGGTGCTTTGTTAATAGAGGAAGGCATGGATTTGTACAAATACGTTGCCTTGGCACACTTTGCTAGCTGAATATAACGTGAAATTTGTTTCCCAAAAAAGAAAAGGAAGAGTTTTGGTTAGGAATTAGTTGCCTTCTTTCTTTCTTTCTTTCTTTTTTTTCTCTCTTTCTTTTTTGATACATAAACATTCTCTTTTTTTAATTAATTTTAAGAAATATTAGCCAAATATGTTTTTAGACTATAAAGAGACTCAAGAGTATATATTGTTGAGAAGATTAATATGTGGGCATAGTCCCACATTGATAAGATAAGAAAGAGTGATGAGTTTAAATAGAAGTTAGGGTCAATACCTAACAACCATAGGTTTTGGTTTAAATTGATTCATAACTTCTATATAAGATCCATCAACTCTAGATTGTGCACAATTTCTCCTACAACAAATGATATCAGAGCTAAAGTCATGGTCCAAGTAATTCAGCATGGTCTGGTTAGCCCATGAGTGAAGTGGTGTAGAAATTAGTGAATCCAGTAGAGTATTGAATTATAGTTGAATTGAACTATACTCATAAATTAAGGGGGAGTTTTGAGAAAATTAATATGTGAGTATAGTCTCACATCGAAAAAAATAAAAAAGAGTGATGAGTTTAAATAAGAGTTTAAATAGCTACAGCTAGTTGGTTAAAATTGATTTCTAACTTTTTGTATACGGCCCATCAACTCTTGATTGAGCCCAATTTCTCTCCCCAACATATAATAGGCCAAGATTGTTGGAATAATTTACAACTTAAGCAACAAATCATCTTTTTTCTTCATCACTAGTGAACCAAAGCCCCATGTTGGCTTTTAAAGGTTAAATTTTGCAAAATCCCCCAGGAAGTTCGGTCCATCCTCTTTACTATGTTTTCATAGTGGAGAGATCATTTTCTCAATCATAACTGTCAATTACTCAATCTATGTTTTTCTTTATCTTGATGATTAATAATTGAGAATAGTGCAATTGACGGTCGTATGATTTTAGTTACATTAAGAATGAATCATGAGCGTTTAGATGATTATGATTAAATTAAAAAGTTGTCTCCCCAACATCAAAGTAAATGCTAAGAGGATCTAACTTGACACAATGCTTTGAACTAAGATTTCCTTAACTTTAGGTAAGCAACCATTGACATGTGAGAAGGAATTTTAAATTAACAAGTAATAGTTCTAGAGATTGCAATAGTTATTCTAAGCAAACCGTCTTAAGTTGAAATAATGGAATGATCATGTGCCAAATCATTTTCATAATCAGCTTGGAACTAAGCTCCATGTGCATAGGGATTGATGAGATGAGAATTTCAGTGGCTAACGTGCACTCTTACCCTAACAATATGATGATAAAATGTATATAATTGAAAAAAATCACAGTTTATATGTTTAATATATTAGTTAGTACATTAAATAATGCATGTCTATTAACCAATCAGGGATTCCCTCAAATTCTTGAGGGATAAGTCATGTTGTTTTCTTTCTACATAGAAGAAAAATGGTATTAAGATGCTTATTTTTACGTTTGCATATGTGAATGCTTCAAGATAAAGAATAGATCTCTTCACTGTCAACTCAACTTGATTGGAGGAGAAATAAAAGGAACCAATGTTTATTATTAATAGCACGTCTTTGGCATCCAATTAGGCATGTCCATCCACGCCATGCCGGGCAAAACCGGAGCCTGGGCCTGAGCAGGCTGAGCTCCGGGTTGGTTCAGATTTTTTTAAATTTTTTTAAATTTTTTAAAAATCTCTTTAAATTTTAAAATATACATAAAAATTATAGAAAATGCTAATAAAAAACAGTAATATTATTAATAACTTGAAATAACATAAATTACAAATACAAAAAATTATAAAAATAAAAGATGATAAAAATAACTTCTTTATTAATAAATATCACGTTGACAGGTTTGACGAGAAAATTTTATAAATGCGGGATAAAAACCATCTCTAAACATATCTTCAAATTCATCATCTTCTACTAATTTAAAAGAAATGTTTTTAAGAATGATAAACCTGATTACGCATTTCCTGACTCGGGCAGCGTCATAATTCCAACTATCGAGACTACCAAAAGAGGAGGATTAGGAAATCATAGATTGTCGGATACCAACTTGAGGATTCTGGCCTTTGTTGTGTTTTTCTATATGGCGTTTGAGGTGATTGGTGCCGCTCTTATGATGAGCTTGGAAAGTCTGGCCACACAACACACATTTAGCCTTCTGGATGAGGATCCGACCGTGTTCATCATTGGTGACGTCTATCTTCTCAAAAAAATTTCACACATCGTATCTCGACCTTTTAGGAGCTCTTTGTGCAGATTCGTTGCCACCAGATTCGGGATTAACACCGATAGGATCGGTAGGAGTAGCTGTTGTAGGAGGACTCATTTCAAGATCAGTAGGATATAAGTTTTTCTCTTCATAATCAGATTCGGAAGTCATTTGATGGAAGGATTAGAAAGTATAAGAGATTATTAGAGAGTATAAGATTGTATAAGAGAGTATTAGAGAGAAGTAGATGAGTTTTGGTGTGAGAAGAAGAAGTGAAAACCCCCCTCTATTTATAGAGGCAGCCTCCTAGGCAAATGACCAAAAAACATTCACAAAATAGTCGTTTTTTGATCGTTTTTAGGGGCAAAACGGTTAAAACGACCAATTCACAATTTTCGCCAAACGATCACCTTTGGTGACCGTTGGCGCCGGGCCGGGCTAGGTCGGGCCGATCCGGATTTTGCCCGCAACGGTCACCTTGGGTGACAGTTACGACCGTGTCGGGCTCTGGGTCCGGGCCACCCGGCCTGGTTTT